GCATCTGTATTTGATGACCTGGGAATGAGAACAGGCTGTGAAGTGTGTAGGAGAAACTATAGTGGCCACGGAACTCGTGAAAGGCCCTATCTACTGTTTGGTTCTTGGTACTCTACAAAACATGGCGGTTCAACATGGCAGACTCCATGGAAGGCGACCCATAGCATCTGTAGATAAAAATGGCTCATCTGAAGGCAACGAAAACACAACAATTCCTATATTCAGCTGATTATAAACAAAAACACCTATGAATGTCATATTCCAGACAGATCCTCCTATATGTTACACACTGGACCTTTTAATTGGAAGGCAGGCTTGACTGGAAGTGGTTAATATAGAAAAACAACTCCATAGCGCCACAAGAGGTCTAAAGCTCCTGGGCATTTATATTTATAAAATATATTTATCTTCTATACACTAAACCGCAGTTGTTAAGTTGGTGCCCAGAATAATAATAGACTTCTACAGATGGTTCTACAAATATATCAAGATATTACAATGGCAGTATACTCAATACTCAACTACCGTCAGTCCTTCATGTGCACCAACCAGAATATCATAAGAGCACTAGGGATTTTGGGTAGTTGACTACAAAAACCACTAGTCAGTGCTGTGGGCAGTTGTTGACTCCTGAAGGATGATATGAGTTTACTAAATATCACCACTTTTACAGCAGTTAAACCTCACGACCAGTAAGAAGAAATACTGGTGAAACTTCTGCTGTGCATCTTATCCCTAATTTGTCTGTGCTTCATTTAGCTGGTATAATAATTTCAATCAAGTTTTTTTTAAGCGCCGGATATTATAAGTCTTGTTTAACACATCATTTCTTCCTACTAGGACACCCTCGGGGTCTCTGTGGACCATACATGGATTCACAAATAGTATTAACAGTATTAAAGAATTTGTTTTGAAGTTGATCAGTGTGTACCGGAGTCTGTGAGCTGCTGCTTCCCAGGCTCAGAGGCTCGTTGTGGGGTAAAGCGGAGCTCTTCAGCCCTCCTCCTCGAGTCCTCTCCAGGGTGCCTCCGCCCAGGTTGCTCCCTGTCACCGAGCGCTTGTCGTGGGGGACACGAGGCAGTGTGGACATCTGCTGACTGGACTTGATATAAGGCACGTCCAGTATCTCGTCCATGTCCAGATCATAGTGCTCCAGCTCCCCAAACAGAGCCTGGGGGTTGTTCCCTCCAACGACACCAACGCTGCCGCCCAGGCCCTTTGCCTTCCCTCCCGGGCCATCGGAGGAGGTGGAGGCATGAGTCGCTTTATCAGAGCTGGGGTCGTCCTTACTGCCCTCCCCCGGCTCCCCCAGCCCCAGCCCCTGGCCCTGGCACTGGGCTTTACCATCAGAGTCAGAGTCGTTGGTCTCTGGTTGGTGTTTGAGAGGGGAGACCCTCTTCACCGGTCGGAACTTACTGTGGACCTCAGCAAGCCCCGTGGGTTTGATGCCCCCACCGCTGTGAGAGGAAACCCCACGACTCCAGTTGATGGCTGGAGCTGCAAGAGGAGGAGAGATAATATCAGATCAGCTGAGGTACGTGGTAAATAGAAGTTTAGATGTATAAAAATAGGAGGACGTAAACTTCTGGACTACTGAGGTCTAGTATGACTCATGAATCATTTCAGTACTCTCAGACAGTACACTCAGTATAGGCATAGTAAGAATCCAAACCATACTTCTATAACACTTAGTTACCTGGTCTCTCCTCGGCCTGGCCATCACTCCTCCTGGACAACTCCGGGATGCTCTTCAGAGACGTCACAGAATACTGCAGGATGAGAACGAGAGAGAAATAATTGAGAAATAATTGAGAGAAAATTGCACACAGCAGCTCAGCAGCTGTGCGAAGTAGATATATTTAGATATTAGTTCATTGCAGTGGATGTTGCTCTAAGTACAGACAGATTGTAACATGAAGCAGAAAAGCAGCTGTAGCTTACAGATGTGTAATGGAACACTAATGTAGTCTCTCTAAATCCCTCACCAAGGTAGTAAAGCTAACTTCATGTTCAAACTGTTTTAGAGAGCTGTTAAATCACACCGTCTTATACTGAGAGGTTTCTATCCTTGTTGAATGGACAAAATATTAGACTTGCCAGAGCCGAGAAAACTGAACATTATGTTCTTCATCCAGGTGGGGTTTGTTACAGGACTGTTGTATTAGACTGTATTGGTTTTACGGGGGTGTACCTACTAAAATGGACACTGGGAGGATGCACCCTATTCCGATAGTTCTACGTAATGTGGAGGTTGTTGTTGGTGTTTCTTAAGTGCGGGCAGCTACTACGCTGCTGTTTTCACACATTACTGTAGGTATGTTCACAGGGGGGCTGTATGTAGAGAGACACTCTAAGCTTGGGGCAGGTGGAGACGTTTTTAGTCACCGTGAGTAAGTATCAGTTTGGTAGGAGAAGTTAGAAGAAGCAGCTGCTGACTTGTTGATATCATACTGACCACTGAATCATCAGAGAAGTCAATCTCATCCAGGTCCAGGTATTCAGGAGCCTCCATCTTCACACCACATCATCAGCCTCACAACCAGCTGCAGACATTAACACACGTCACATATTAGGATTATATACAGTGTGCAGCCACTTTTCAAAGCTGTGGGGGAAAATGTACATGAAAAAAAAAATCTATGATGCACACAAACTCTTATGTTAGTCAGGCAGCGTCATTATTTTTACTTTATTTCTCCTGTTTTGCAAGGTATTTAAGTTTGCGATCAATCAACAATTTCTGTAACCATTGAATAGCCTTTGTTTGCACCTTCTATGTAGCAGCATCATATCCAGAAATGTGATAAAGAAAAGCACTTTTGGGTATTAAGGTTGAAGTGATATGATCAGCAGGAATAAAACACAGGAAATGGCTGCAGGAAACTGAGACCGGTCCTGTTGAAAACTTGTGCAAAAGTGTTTTCTTTCTTTTTTTAACTGAAAAGACAAACTGCTGCTCAGTGAATAAAGAGGAAACTGTGGCAATAACAAATCAGACTTCTATTTTAAGTGGGATTTTCACTCTTACCGGCGAACAAAGGCTTCATGACAAACGTGCCTGAAGGAAATCAAATCCTTTTCTGCACAGTAATACTGGAGGTTTAAAAACGGCCAAACTGTCAAGCTCACAAACCGCCCGAGCTGTTGTGATCAAAGGCAACACACTGCGGGATAATCAGGACTAATCAGAGAGCAGCGTGACCTGCAGCGTGCACCGGGATTTAAAGATGCAACCTGAACCGACACGGGCGCAACAAACAACCCTGCTCATGGACACGGAACAAATATGTCAAATAACACCAAACAAACAGCTGACTACTGAGCTTTGTGCTGACAATGCTAATAATAGTCCCCTTTCTTTTATAGACAAATTGAAGGTATGTTTGTTTTTTTCACTTCAATTATAGTTGAATGGACAGATTTAATTGTTTCAGTTGTTTCATCAAGAAAACATCTTCTCCAACTGCAGCCTTCCTCTGTTTGATATAATTAGAAACTGAATCTCTTTATTAATGGATGATGACAGTCACTGTTAGTGGCAGCCCTAAGAGGATCACAAGGACCTGCTGTAACTGCAACCGCTGCTGAACAAGGTCCTACCGTAATCAGTGAAGGACCATGGTGTCTATACAGTGTCAAGAAGTGATCCCAATAACAACAGTTTGCTTTAGGTCGGAGGTGTTAATCGTTGTTTTCCAGGCGTCATTGTAAAGCCTCTGTGTTTTGTTCACCGCTCCCTGTACATTAACTACAGTCTAAGAGGTTGCTTTATGTTTTGAAATAAACATGGTCACGGGATGTTCAGAAAGCAGCAAACTGTGCAGCTTTCATGTAAGAGTGGAGCTGTTTTCAGACTGTGTGGGAGTGACCACAGAACTAAACCGGTCCAAATGAAACCTCTGATTGCAGCTTTGAGAAACAGTCGAGCCTAACATCCTTGATAACAACAGTTTAGGACCGAAACCCGACATCAAAAATAAGACTGAATCAAAAAAAGGGGGGGAGGACGTCTGCTTTCTCTGTTTATGCTAACAGCTGACGAGTCCAAATCCTTCCAGGCAGCGAGACGCGAAGACAATCAGGAGAGCAGAGTCAGGAAACAAGGACGGGAGTTTTCAGGAGGAATTTCAGAGAGATTGGATTACTGTTTCCACATGATGGAATTACATATATACACGTTTCTCCACATTTCCCTCAGAGGTGAAACTGAATCAAAGTCACGTAGCATCTCTTAAGTCCTGCACTCACAGTGGGGTTGCTAGGTTCTGTCTGAACTGCAAACGAACAAGATTAAACATGAAAATGAGTCAGAATCACAAATACTTTATTGATATTTGTCCATGTGACGTACCAGGCACCAATAGAGCCGTACAGTAACAAACAAAAACATCACTTCTCTGAGCCATATTCTCCACCAACCCAACCGTCTATAATGCCATTCTCACCATCAGCCAGTTGGAGGCTGTAATTCACACTGAGTGGAAACCAGATCACAGGCAAGAAGACCTGCAGACTGAACGGGGGCCAGTTGAAATCTCATTAGTGTTGGTCAGATAATGTGTAGGTTCACTGTCATTTGGCCTAATCTGAATCCACGTTTCCAAGTAAACCGGGTATAGCAGCATAAAGAGACCTTATGTTCGGTTTGAAGTATTTGTAAAACCTTCATGGTCACGTCTAGAAGGACGGTCGATCATTGTAAATAAGCATTTAGTGGCTTTAGGCGGTATTGTTTTCAGAGCGACATCATCTCAGACAGAGAGCTGAACTTCACAAACATTACACATCTGTGAAATAAAGAAAAACCTAGAGGGAGGGCCCAATGAAGGCCACATATTTTAGGAGTGTGGCTATTGATAGGCTGGCATTTCCATCCGGATTAGGCAGGATCTGAGTGAATTTCCACCTTGGCCAAACGATTTCCTGTAGGAAAGCCTGATCATATATATATACACACAAATTAATATTTCAACATGCAATAATGTGTAAAAACTAACACTGTTTGTTCTTAAAGGTGTTGTCTGATGTAAAACGCAATAGCAGGACACAATACACCACACTGAACGTTCACTTTGATTACTTTAGACTTGACCGGCTCTGCACTTGCCACATCATGCTAAATAATAAATAAAAGAGAGGAAACATTTGTATTAATATTGTGATGATGGCTCTCGGTTTCTATTTCAACAAAAGCTTCACAATGAGCAGTGACAGTAATACAGTTAGGAATATGCACTGATTCATGATGCTTCATTAGTAATAGCAGCCAGACAGTGTTAACTTATGGTGTAGATGTATTTAATCATCACAGTCTAGTGCCCCAAAGGCTCAGGCTGTTATTCTGATGAACATCTACTCAGAATTTCTGTTTTCAGGACAGAAATGTGAACAACGTTACATTTGTTGAGGAAGCACTGTAAGAAAAAAAGCCACAGGCTGATGAAAGTCAAATAAAATCCCATTTGAGAGCAACATGTGTGCAATTCTTCTCCTCTAATTAATAAGACCACTTGGTGCAGTGAGTTAACACAGCACTATTAGTCACACACAGGCTGACAGTAGCCAGGGAAGCTACGCTCTTTGTGTTCCCCCCACATAAAAACAACGAGTGTGATTTGTCCTCTCCTCACTGTGGACAGTGAAGCAGCAGGAGGCTAATCAGCTAAGCTAGCTCGCTAATCAGCATCCACAGAGGCTAATATGGGAGCTAGCTAACGGACGAGCCAGGCAGCTGGAAAAATGAGGTCAAAACAGAGAGCTCAGGTAAAAAGGACCCGGGCCCGGGATAAAAGAGCCGCTTCCTCCGGTTAGCGGGCAGTTTTACGATACAGTACCTTATCGAAGTCCGGCAGCCGAGGAGAAGCGGCTGGCTCGAGGAGAGGATACAGCTAGCCGAACCTAGCCGGACTGATCCGCGGATCCAGCTGTTTTTTCTCCCTGTGTCGCCTCGATGTCTTGAAAAGCACAAAGACTTTGACATATGGGCAGCGCAGAGAGGAGGGCAGAGAGGAGGGCTCACTCTGAGCACATTTCTGAGTACAGTACTCCTGTAGGACGAAGGGAAGAACTACACTTTAACCACTCTGTGCAACTGTTGCTTTGTGTGTATGTGTTTATGTAACTTATTAATAACATGCGCAGTGTGGTGGACCATTAAGTACAAAGGCAGTGGGATGTAACGAGGGCATTTACTCAATTACTGCACAGTCCTGAGGTGTCTTTACTTTACTTGAGTGTTTCCATTTTAAACATTTAACAGCTTTAGTTACTTTTACAGATCGATAAATGCATAATGATGCAGTAGGCTCCCCAGCAGTATATGAACACATGAATGCATCAGTAACAATAATCTAGTACTATGATATTATGTTAAAATGACATTTATTTCACATTATATTCACATTATGGTATCGTAATGAGCCTGTTTTGACCACGTAGTCTCCTGCTGAACAATGTGTATCATCCTGCTCTGTGGAAGGTGAAACTCACTGTCTGTGTCACGCCCACTGTCTCAGACTGAGACTTTTTGTTGCTCCTGCTGACTCATCACTTCAATAGACGATCTCTGATAGACAGCCGCTCACACAGAGGAAGTGGAGCCGTTAGATCGGTCCGTTATCCTTAGAATAAAAACTACAATAAAACTTCATTTTCATTACAATATGTATGTATTCTGAAATAAATGCACCGATGGAAACATATGTCTTCATTTCATTTTAAATTGTTACGTCTTCATTTTGAATCACTGTTTTATATTTTAGGGGGCTAACAATTGGCTGGGACAATGAAAATTATGAAAAGGATTAAAAATAAACCACTATTAATTATAATTGCTATTATAAAAATAGCAATTATAATTAATCAGATTGTTTGTTAATATATTAAAATTAAACCTACTTGCTTTTATAACTCCGCAATAGCTATTTGCTTTATTATTATTATTGCTTTAGTAATAATTATAATTGTAGTGAGAAGTGAAAGCAGTTAGTAACAAGTGGTAGAAATACAGCTTCCCACTCTGCATATATTACATGGCTTATATTAAATCGTGACTCAGTTGAGGAGAATGTTACAGTTATCCTAATTCTGGTAACTATGTGCTTGATATTTTATTTATTTGACTGTATTCATATCTAAACATTAAATTCAGTGGGCTGGATTCATCCTCCAGAATCAGACATTTGACATCATACATTCAGTTACATAACTTTTAGTCTGTCAGGGAGAAAATACAGAGGTTGTACCACAGACGAGTCTATAAATGTCCTCTGTGTTTCCATAATAACAGCCTCTGTAGCTCTGCTTCTGTCCACTGCGGTTTAACATTCAGCAGCTCATTTTGATCTCAACAGTGCCATCTAGTGGAGAACTCTGAGACTGTCACTGCTCAAACAGGCTCATTTTCTTTCAGGGAAGTGGTGCTTGCTTTCTAAAACAGTTAAAGATGACTGTTAATTTGATTGTTAGGGTAATAAAATATATTCATCTATTTTTGCATCAACATCAATACAGAGTTACGGGCCAACATGTTGTATTTTGTACAGCAGTGCTGGTGTGTGGTTAATAGTTCTTTATTGGTAAGCCATATTATTTTAACTGTTTTGACAACAAACATCTGAAAATGCTCATTGTGCTGAGTTGATGTCTCAATTTAAAGATGAAACTGCAACTAGGAGCCCAGTGTGTCTTTCAGCAGAGGTTACCAGTCCAGGGAGAAAACAGTGTCAGAAATAATAAGAAATGTATGTTATCTTACTTATTCCAATATTTACCATTTCTATATTTGTTATTTGTACAGTCAGACAGTGAGAAAAAAATACTGTGAGACACTATATTTATGAGTCCATTTTGGAAGACCCAGTACATTAATTTGATGGTGAGCCTCCCAGCTGGGTTCTGACATCAAGAAATAGGACCACTGAAACAGACGGAACCAGGCTTTGGGTTTTATTTAAGTGATGAAACGTCACTTTCACTGGACCCCTTGTCAGACAATCTGCATTAATAGAAGGATCAAGCTTAAATGGACCTCTGCAGAATGTTGCTGTTATCACTCATTGAGCAGCATTTCAATTCAGATTCAATTCCCGTCTCTCCACTGAATAGAAAGAATAAAAATGAATAAAAAAAACTAATTTAATCTGTGAGCTTCTTTTATTTTTGATAAAATAATTTCTGTGGGAACAGGAAGCATTTGTGATGATAGTTTGGCTTCCTTACAGCAGAGGGCAGAGTTGGACTTCTTATTAATGTCCAGCACATCTACATAATGTGAATGAGACGGAAGAAATACAAAAGGCAGAAGTATTCGGGTCCTCTTCTAAAGTAAAGTCAGCTATGACCTACATTCAAAACCTTACTCAAGTAAAACTAAGTATTATCGGCTGTATGTACTTATTCAGCAGTGAACTGATCCCTGTCAGTGTTTTACTATTAATTCATATTACTGCTGCATTAATGTGTATGCTGCATTTGCTGTGTGTGCTGTGTACGGTTGGACTGCTTAAGTTTGTGCTGTGTGCACAAGACTCATGGCTCTGACCGGTTGTTTCCATTCAGATGTGCTGGATTCTTGCAAAAGCCATTAGGAGCACTAGGAGGAGCCAGAGAACCTGATTTTTTCCACAGATTATCTACCTCATATACTCCTGTCAGGAATATAGAGACTGTGACAAAAGGCTATTTTTTTAAAATATAAAGTTAGTTAGAGTCTTCAGCTTTAACAAGTAGCATATGGTTTTTATGTGGTCCATGCTGGACTTGAACTGGGACTTGACCTTGACAAGAGTATGTCAACCAAGACTGCCTAACAATATCCATAGCCTTTAGCTCTCAGGCCTAACCTATTCTATCCTTGTGTCTGGTAGTTTCGAATTCGAACATGTCCAAAGCCCTTAGGCGTGTTATGGCCAGCTGGTGTGATGTTCTGTCTCAAACTGCAACAGTAATGTGTGACTGTGCTGAATTTTTCAGCTGTGTTCAAGTATAATCAAGTTGATGTCATGGCTGATATGGTGTTCTGTCTCAAATTTCTATGTATTCATTATGTTTTATTTTTATAGCAATCAGCAATTGTTTTTTTCTGAGGGTTGCTGTCAGGTGAGCCCTACTGGACTGGATCAGGACGTTGACCAGCAGCATCAATAAATAGTATCAGTGAAATAAAACACTTCCCAATTTAGAAAAGGGTATATCATATACATAACTGCATAGTTTGACAACACACATCTTGCAACTGTATGTTTTTAGCTGATTAAAATCTAATCATATGAAACTTTATTCATTCACAGTGTCATTCCTGGAAGTGCCTTTTTTACATTTGGAACGCAGATCAAATTTATGTTTGGATTTCTGTCAGGTTTCAGTGAGGAGACTTTTCATGTTTTTAAGGGGTCGCAATGTCTGTCCGTCTCAACCTGCACATGTAAACATCAGTTTTATTTACTGTATCAACAAAGAAGGGTTTTTATTTCAATATCCTTGTAACTGATCAGTGAAAAATATAATGTCATTGGTATCTAGTGGTGTTGGCTGAGCACATCATTCTCTTCAACAACAATCTGATTTAATTTCATGTTTGACTTCTTGTTTAAAACAAGAAATGTGTTCAGTGTGGTAAAAATACATTTTATGTAGCAGTGAGACAGATCACCACACTGAAACACCTTTAAGGTTTTCTAAGTGGAATCAAAGCAGGGAAATTGTGTTTATGTATCTTTTGAGTATTTAAGATGTTTCCATCATTCAACATGCATGCCAACTTTTGTAAAAACTTATTTGAACTATTTTTTTACCAAATATTTTGTTTCCACTCAGGTGCTAATGCATGGATTTAAACAGGTTAGCATTAACATAAAAAAACTGGTGGATGGAAATACACTGTGGGTTGTTAGGAGTCGACACATATCAACAGTGTTTACATTCAAGCTAACTTTATTAATGGGATATGAAGCAGTAATGCAGGTTGATAAGATAAGATATGAGCTCGCCTATACACAGCTCTGTAGGTATGTGTGGTTACAGGTTGTACAAGTACAAGTACACCCACTGTGTACTCTGTATACATACACTCTATACAGTGTTCACCAACAGAAACACACTTTAATTTGTAAGTCTGACTTCCAGCAGGATTTCCTTTTTTTTGTCCCTGAATATTTTTGGTTCGATTCAGTTTGGGGACACAAAACGGCACAAAGTAGAAAGCACGTAAAGCACCAAAAATCTAAGATCTATTCCACAGCACCAATAAAAACAAGAAAAACACCATTAGTGAAAAAAAAAAGCCTACAGGAAGTTTAAAACGCAAACTGCTTTCTCTGAAAATGCCCAGAAACTGTCATTGTGCAATTTCACAAATAAGGAGCATTAAATTAACATTAAAATGTCAGTTATATCATATATGGAATAAAAGTCTACAGGAGCTAAGGTAGAACATGCAGTAAGTAACTGTGATCACAAAAGTATTATTCTGTGATCATGAGAAAGTGGTTTTGTTAGCTCTTCATCTGAAAATATTAACAGTTTTCTCAATAAAATAGATTTCTTGGCATTAAAAAATGTATTTGTTGATCAAGAACAAAAAATCTTTACCCTGACCATGAGAAAAGTAGATCAAAAGAAAAAAAACCTATATAACTACTATAACATAAAGACTGAAACCTTTATAACTAACAAACTATCCCTGCTCTCTCTGACACTTGGTCTTTTGTGTAATTGTTTGGAAAACAGAATACTGCCTAATATCTAGATCTAATAGCCTCCTGGTCAATTTTTTTTAACATTTAATGTAAGAGTAAATCTGCACAGTACATAAAACGTTTGTAACCAGGAGCTGATAAATGTGGAGTAAAAAGTAGTGTAGTGGAGGAAAAGTAGAAAATCTCCCTTTCTAGAAATACTCAAGTACCGGGGTCCATTTGCACCACCTATTCAGATCAGACTTTGCCTATAACTTAGTTAGAAAGCAAATGTTTTATTTACGCATCACAATATTAAAGCAATAATTTGAAACTGGTTAGTGATTAAGATCTTAAATAGGACACACAAACTCTTGGATCTATAAATAGATGGTGCAACCATCCAGAACCTTTGAATTTACTGAAGTCCAGAAATGGAGCAGGCTAAATGTGGGCTACTTAATCCTGGTGTATTCTTACTGACATGAATACCTGCTTCTGTAATTAAACTGATTAGTAATCCATTCGTTTTGACTAAATTAATATAAAGTAATGGTTCAGTTGTTTTATTACAGCTAATAATCAGTATTTGCTTTAATCCAGTTATAATTGAATTATTTAAGTCACATGTAACTTCAAGCTTCATTCTTCTTTTCAAACTCAAACTGCAGAATTCATCTCAGTAGCTGCAAGAAACAAAAAGAACAACAAAATCAACCACTGATACAAAGTATTGACTATTAAATATTGACAGGTCCCGCTGTCTCCAGGTGGAAAGTCTACTCATTTACAGCAATTCTCTGGGGAATAGACCCCTGAAGTTGTTACACCACTGGAATATAATTGACTTGTAGGATTGCTGTGTTTGCTATGAAGGATTCATTTTGGGGCCAATATACTGTTTTATCTAAATAATAAGCTACAAAATCATTTAATTTTCAAAAAAATTAAGGTGAAGCTGAACTAATTCATCTGCATCCTCTGTTGTTGCAAAAATAGTTAATCTACAATAAAGAAGAAAATGTTTCTCACGATGTCATGGTGCATCCAGAGATGTGAGCGGCGGTGCCGGTGTACTGGACGTCACAACGAACCACGTTGTTGTTAAAGTTGGACTCTGGAACCTGCTGCCTCGGATTTACTGTCACCTGCCAGGACAACACACACAGTGTTTACAGTTTACAGTACATGAGCTTATGTCTCCTGATGTAGTCGTTTAAAGGACACGTTTGGCGTCAATCTAATTATTTTTTCTTATTATCAACAAATCACACAAAAAGACACAAAAAGACACAAACCAACAATGTCTGTCTGTATTCTCTGAATTCCTGTCTGTGGCTCTCAGCTCCAAGGCCATTGGTTGCTACTGAACACATCAATCTTTTACCTTTATTTTAAAAAAGGCTCAGTGATTCCCTAAAACAGCTGGTCACTGTAGTTTTTAAAAGTCAAATGTTACACAAATAGCAGGAAATAGTGCCTTAGTTGGGGACTATTTTCAGTGGTGGATTAATCTACATTTGGTGCTCTGATGAGTTCTCTATTGAGTAATGAGGAAAATATAGATAGAGTTACACCAAGCTTATACTAATAGGAAAACACAATATATCTGTCCAAATATAAAGCCACCAAGTCTTCCCAGTAGACTCTCAGTAGCTTCCACACCTTGAGGATGTATCTTCCAGGAGAGACGTCAGTGATGTCGATCCACTGACAGTCAATGTCAGCGTTGTACGTGTCATAACAACCTGGACTCAAACCCTGTACACACACACACACACACACACACACACACAGGACAACAAAATGCAATTGACACACTGAAGTACAGTGACTATTTTAATATCTAAATGTTTACATGCTTATTTATTATAGTACCATATGAAGAACTTCTAAAACATGATGCCTGAAACTACCAAAAATGAAACTACCAAAGAGAGCAGAAAATCTCTTCTTCCTTCCCTTGTGTGTGAGCTTGTGCGTCATATTTGGGAACCTAAATTTTACCTAGCTGATCAGAGTTAATATGTCTAAGGGGGACAAAGCAGATGTTCCCCAATGTTTTGTTCAGGTGCCCTCGTCCAGTACATGCCAAACAGTTTCTGTATCCATTGTGTGGGTTGATAAGCATCCGGGAAAATAATGCCGGTTAACCAAATCTCCAAATGACATAAGAAGACTACTGTGTGTGTGCATGTGTGTGTGTGTGTACCTGAGTGTGTGAGGTGCAGGCGAAGCGGCGGTAGTATCCCGGATCACAGGAAGTGTCCTCCAGACAAAAGCTTGCCTTGTGACCCTCAGCTACCTGCCTCTGAGTCTGGGAGTCCAGCAGCTCATACAGGCTGAACTCGTCCATGCTGTGGAAGTGACTGAACAACAACAGCACAATGAAGACAGAAAGCTCATATATACCGTACGTCTTTAACTCCAAATGCTCCTACTAGCTACCTACTTATGACAGCTGTGCCACTCCCAGGCATATCGAGGTTTACTGGGCAGGAAGTCAGCTGTTCCCTGGTTCTTCACCCTCTGAGGGAACCTCAACAAAACTCTGGTGTCATAATCCTGAGCATAACTGGAGGAACTGGAGGAGGAGAAGAGAGGAAAGGAGAGGAGAGGAGGAGAGGGTCAGTCAGGGATC